ATAGAGAGGGGGGAGACCCCTCCAGATCAAGAAAAAAACGCTAAAAGCCAAACAATAACGCGCTCGGGTGGGAGGCAAACCTCAACCACCAGAAAGAACCAAGGCACCCCGATGGGAAAGAAAAGATAGGAAGAGGGGAGAAGATAAAGAAAAAGAGAGAGAGGGGGGGGGGGAAGAAACCAACCACAAGGGAAGGGCCTAGCCGAGCCAAGACCAGAAAACAACAGAGGAAAGCACAAGAGCAAGAAAAGGGGCCTAAAAAAGGCACACCCTAGGGATGAAATGAGATGTTTATCCTGTATTTGATTGTGTTTATCTGCAGTTAGTTACACGAATTCAGATATGGGATGAAATCGGATAGGGATGAAATCGTTTAGGGATGAACATGTTTAAGAGTTTTAGCCAAATGTTTTATAATATAGTCTAGATATAGATTATTCATGTACAATTTTCTAAATGTTACGTTTGTTATAGTTTACAAAATGCATATATTGGAGATAGTTGTTATAAAATTGACAGAACCTGAAATGAATAAATACTAACATGTCCTTGCTATTATTATTTACGACTTAAGAATAAATAATATATGTAAAAAGATTGTAAAATTATTGCAAAAGGAGATGTTATGCATTTTGTATGTTTTTTCCTTTATATTTTTTATTTATGTTTATAATTTTGAAAAATGTAATGACATTCCAACTTTTTCATATTCACATTATGTATATACTTATTATCTACCTCAACCTATCAATCAATCATGTTCATCTTTCAAAATTCATATGGTAAACTAAATTATATTTAACCTCTAAAATTATATACCAAATCATAATAGCGGTAGAACGAAACGGTTAAATTGGACCACAAAATGACAGTTTGGTCTGACCGATTAGGTGTTTTGGGTCTCTTATGGACTTTAAACTCAAAAAAAACATAACACCACTCTCTCTCTCTCTCTACATACATACATATATATATATATATATATATATAACCAAAAGTTATTTTGAGAATTGATAAATATTTGAGAAGTAAAAAGTGATTTTAATACAATCAAGATATTAAATAGAAATGAAAATAATATAATATGAATTAAAATAATTTCAAATTAATTATATATATATATATATATACATATATTCAAAATTTTGGATTTGTTAAAACACATTTTCTAAAAAAAATCTACATCTTATGATTTTGAATAACCATTACATACAATATGAATAAAATTGGTCAATCTCACATATCCTAATTAATTAGTACTTTAAAAGAATATAAAATTAATAATTAAATCAAATATTATTAAAACCATTTTACATAATTTTATTATTTGTTAGACAAAATAGATATAACTTTAGTTTTTATGTAACTTACATATACATTATTAGAATTGTTATATTTGTTTTTTTGATAATCAAATATATTGAATAATAAATGAAAAAATAATATAAAACAATGATATGACTAAAAACATTTCTAAATAATTAATAGTTAATATTAATGTATAATGTATAATTAATAATTTTCAACTAATATTAGTTACAATTAATTAATTTCTAATCTTATTTACTAAAAAATTATTTTTATTGATATTTATTTATAACTAATAGAATAAATAATAATTAACATTAATGAGGATCATAGTTGAAAAAAGTGACAAAAAAAACTCTTTATAAACTACTCCAACTAGAGCTTCGATATATAAGTTACCTTATGTTCATCCGAATATGTATAAAAAAACAAGCTAACTTATAAGTTAGTTTATGTTCGCCGAACATGTCAATACATAAATATTCATCTAAATTTATGCTTTGCATATAAATTGTTGATTATTTGAATTATAAGTACATCGATGAAAATAAACTTTTCATAAGTTTTATTATAAAAACAAACAATAAAAACAATACCATGATGCATTGTAAAAGTAAAATTTGTTCTTTAGTAAATTACTAATTTTGTTTTTGTGGTTATATGAAAATTTGGATTAGGTCCTCCAAATGAAATAATTGCCTTTTGTCTTAACTTTAGTTCCATTAAGTCAATGTTCTTTTAGTCATTTTATACATTTTCATCTCCGGCAACAACGTCCACTTACACCTTTCCTTTCCTTCACATCTCTGGCCCTAAACAACAACAATAATCCTTCCCCCATCTCAAAATCCAACCCAATCAACCACTGCCTTTGTCTTCCTCAAGAGCTTCACAATTGGTGACCAACTTGTCTTTTTCCTAAAGAACTTCACCACCATAGCTAACCAAGGGCAACCTAAAACCCTCGTAAACCCTTCATCAAATTCCCAAAACCACAAAAAATTTAAGAAATGCTTCAAATATGGAACAAAGTTTATTTTGGGTTTTTTTTTCTCTTATTCAGCTCTGGTTTAGAGAGAAACCTACAACTCTTCAAAATTAATCGAAAAATAGAACCCAAATCAAAACCCATCCATGAATTTAGATCGAAGATTTCTCTGTTTTATTATGTTTTGATTTCTTTAGCTTTTCACAGTGGTAATGGTGATGTTTTGGAGTATTAGAGGTGGTGGTGTGGTTTTTGTTGGTTTCTAAGGGCGGTGAAAGGGTGTTGATTTCGGGAGGTAACAAAAAAGAGATGTTTGAGAAGAAGACCCATTTGATAAAGACGATATTGAATTATAATATAATATATTTAATTATATAATAACTTTAGTTTAATATATATTATTTACTTTTTATTTTCTTAAATAAAAAAGATAAAATGACTAAAATATAATTCACTTAATAACTTTAACTAAATAAAGTTAGATCAAAAGGACCTAACCCGCAATAAAATTGAAACTACAATGATAATGCCTCCATAATTTTAATATAACTATAGGGACCAAATCTGTAACTTACTCTTTGTTGTTCGATATCAAATCGAAACCAAGTCCAAAACCCTTTAGAATCCAGTAGAACCCCATTCAACGATGTCAACAACATCACCCCCAAATTCTGATTGCCGCATGTATGAAGCTAAATACCCGGAAGTTGACACGCCG